GGGCGAGAAGGTGGAGAACTGACAAAGCTGAAAGTTTTAGAAGACAATCCAGTCTGGAAGGTCGGATCCTGTATATTCCTTGACTGCTAGCCCACTGAGTATCTTTTTTGGTGCTATATCCAAAGTGACTTGATAATGCTTGTCACATAGTAGTTGCACCAAAAAGGTTTTAAATAAAAAAATCCCAAAAGAATAGAAGTCTAAAGACAATTAAACTCAGTCTCTGAAAATTAGTCTCTGAAAATTAAAAGTTTCTCCATAATAGGGAGATACCTGGCAGAAGAACTGGCGAGATAAAGTGAGCTAATAATTGAATGACGTCTTCCCAGATCAGTACGTAAATGGGCATGATGAACTCTGAATGTCTCTTTGCCCATAAAAGGTGAATATTTCTAAAGTTTATTTTCCCTATCAAATGTCCCAGTAGTGAAAAAGTTAACATTTTATTGTTGTTGCATGATAATGGCTTTTATTTATGGATTCATCTAATCCTCATACCAACTCTATGAAGTGCTGTTATTAAACTATTGTACTACTATTATCATAAGTTATGATTGTTCTGGGAATACTGTTAGAGACCTAGAGGGAGTGTGCCTAACCAGGCTGAAAGTGTCAAATTGCCTGAGGTCAAATCTTTAAAGTATGATCTACACTAAATACCTTGTACAAATGTCCCATGGTTTCAATTACATTGTCAAGGACCCACCTTACTAGAGCCTCACCATGGTTACCGTAGACTCATTCTAAATACCAATGGCAAAAATGACCAAAGATTTTAATCCAAGGTAGCATGCCAAATATGCTCCTGATTAATTTTAAGTACTTTGTCAAGTATAGAAGGAGATAGTAAGCAAATTCTGGATAATATGTTGCATCGGTAACTTGGTAAGATGACAACTATTTTTTAAACCTGAAATTATGTATTGATCAATGTTTTATCCATCAGCGTTTTCTTGGGATCTCTTTAGAGAGATCTTAGTCAATAGCATCATCTTGCAAGAAGAAAAGAACAAGTGAATGAGCCATTACTTCTTTCTGTGTATAAGCAGTGTGTTAAGTGCTTTATGTATAACAGATTTTAGAGTAACCCTATGAGCTGGATATAATAAGTTTTTCAGAAGGTGAAACTGAGCAAAATAAAATATTTTGGTGTCTTAGTTTGGACTGCAATAACAAATTACCCTGGACTGGATGGGTTAAAGGACAGAAATTTATTTCTCACAGTTCTGAAGGCTGGGAAGTCTGAGATCAAAGTGCTAATATGGTTGGCTTCTGGTGAGGATCTTCCTTCTGGTTCCCAGATGGCTACCTTCTTTCTGTGTCCTCACAAGGCAGAGACCAGAGAAAGGAAGCAAGCTCTCTTTTGTCTCTTCTTACCAGGGCAGTTTCCATCATGAGGGCTCTACCTTCATGACCTGGTTACTTTCCGGAGGCCCTGTCTCCATTTACCTCACATTTACCTCAGGTTGGTAATTAGAATTCCAACATACTAATTTTGACAAACACTCAGTTCATAACACTTGCCAAAAGCACCCAGCTAAGAATATTTGTTTACAAATTCCTTAAATCAATGGAATTATATGCAGATTTATTGTCCTAAACTGTATTTTTGGCTATTTCTATACTATGAGCAACTAGCCCAAAGATTAAAAAAAAAAAAAAAAAGTGTTTCCAAGCTGGTGACTACTTCAATCAAGTTTACTTTATTAGCCAACACAAAGAACTACAAAATAATGTGCATTCTTAACCAAAGCCTTGGTTACTTCCTGGGAAAAAGTGGTTGAGGTGTGTTATATATAAGGAAGCAACCTGTTAATTCTTATGCAAATATTTAATTTTCTTCTATGTGTTATACTGTTTTATATTTGCTCGCTTTTCACAATTCAGAACCCATTCCAGGCTCCTCACCAAAGCTTTTTGGCTTATAATTGCTGTCTATGCTACACACTATGTGGCCCTGGGAACCCTATGACCGCCTTTTGGAAAACAGTGTGATTTTCCTATTGAAGGTCCAGAGCTGGTGACGGCTTGTAGAGGGTTTGATTTCTTCTTGTAATTTTCCATAGAGAGTTCCTCCACACCCAGGAGTGTTCCTGGTTTCCATTCTATGGTTTGTGATTGTTGTCTCCCAGATTTCTTCTTTTCCCAGTATCTACATGCTATAACCCTGCCTTGAGAAAGAGGCTAGAATCAATAGGGCTGGGTAGGTGGGGTGTCTGGCTGGCAGAACATGTGATATTAGTGTATTCTGTCTTTTCTCAACCAACGGATGAGCTGTCAAGGAGGAAACGAACTCTCATAAAGAAGGAAAAGGTAGAGAATAACTTCACATAAATTACAAATGCTGTTTCGAATCTTCTTACAACTTTTTGCTTTATTCTATCATTTTTCTTTTGGCATTTTCCTGTCTTCTTCCTGGCCTGCCCCATTCTTTTTGGGGTTCTTCCACCAGAGCAATGGTTCTCAAACTTCAGCACACCTCGGATTACCTGGAGGGGTTGTCACAATACACATTGCAGAGCCTCTTCTCCAGAGTCTGGAGGCCAATAGGTTTGGGGTGGGGTTTAAGTATTTGCATTTCTAATCAATTCCCAGGGGAAGTTGATGCTGATGGTCTGGGGCCACAGTTTGAGAAACCGTGGTCTAGAGACTGTGCTTTATTATCTTAATAGTTTCATTTATTCATTCACTATTTCATCCATTCACTCACTGATTCATTCATTCATTCAATATTCATTGGGACATTACTGGCATTTAGTGGGTCTTTAATAAATGTTAAGTGGCTGTTCCTTTCCCTGAGTCTCAGAAGACTGTGGGTCCCAAGCACTCTTTAGTGGGAGTGACTCAAATTGCACTGACTCTTACCCTCTCCTGCATAAAATAAGATCTCCAGCACCTCTCAGACAAGTATGCAGCTGTGTCACAGGATGCCAGGGCTTCTCACTCAAGTGCTTATCACCCAGTCAGTTCTGGTTACCACATTCCAGCTCCTCTCTGCTTCCCGTCTGTGCAGCTACTTAAGGCTGCCACACCACTGAGCCTGCTGCCGCCTTCCATGGGAAGCCTGAGGTCCATGTGCTGCCCGATGGTGTGCCTGAAATTGGAAGGGTGGGGACAATGGCATGCTCCCTGACTCCACATCACATTTCCTTGCCTGGAAACAAAAGCAGCCGGCTGATGCCTCGATATCTTCCAGAACAATATCTGGAACAATATCCAGAAAAATATCTCCATTCGTGTTTGCCTGTAGTTATTTCCCAGGGCTTGAATCTCTAGATCTGGGAAGGTGACAATGGGTGGATGGGCAGGGAATGTGATAACACTTTCTGTCTTTTCCAATCCAGCTACTCTCAAAAGTGCATGAAAAATGCATGTGCAGTTTTCACAACCCCACATCTTCTCAGATACGCCACACGTGCCTGAATCCCAGTGGAGACACAGCTGATTTTCAAAACTACTAGTGCAGATGAAAAAAGGACCCCAAATTTCTCCCTGCCTTCTTCTGCTCTTTGAAGGTGTTTGTTTACAACCCCATTGCATTTCTGATAGGACAAATTTAGTCTAGCCAGGGGGACTTCCTCTAACTGTACTCTGCAACTCATTTCTTTCAGGCAAATGATGCCTTAGGTAAAGAGAAAAGAAATCATTTGTAGCCCTGCGTAATTTTCTGCGAGGAGCCTAAGGATTAAAACAGCTTTACCCAATCTTTACGCTTTATAGAAGTCCCAAACCACTGCTGCTTGGGTTTCCGATCCTAAGCCAAGAACGATCGAAGGCTGCTGCATCTGGCCTCGTTTCCCTGTGTGTGGCCTGGGAGTGGAGGTGGGCGGCAGAGCGTGGGGGCTTTCAGCACTCACTGCTGCGGAAGAGGAGCTCCATTGTTTAGATTGTCTAGGGGCTTTTAGAGGGAACTCAGGGAGCCTCTTATTTACCTGTCTTCTCTTATTCCATGAAGACTCTATGCATTCTTGGGTATCAGAACTATGAAAAAATGCTGGTTATTACAACATGCGGAAATGATCCAATTATCCAGAAATGAAAGAACAACAATATAACAATATAATATAAATACACTATTTCAAACATATGTCAGACATATGTCAAATCGGCTATCATACATTTTATTTGTTTCCTGTATTACGCTCATTCCATACAAACGTTGCACTGTTTCTCGTCAGGTGGCAGAAACATCCTGACCCAAACAAAACTTTATATAAGTGCAACAAACACTCCCAGGGAAGAGAAGCTAAATGGGTGATTGCAGATTTCCATACTGGCAAAAGGCATGGAGGCTTGTGTTCCTCTTTTTCAGGTATAACAGGGATAGAGGGGAGAACACCCAAAGCAATAAAATGTCAAGCACTGCGTCCCCTGGAACTATGCCTATTTGGTGCCCTTCTGGTCACACCAGAGAGATCAAGAGATGGCATGCAGCATCACTTCACAGATTTGAAAGGCTAGCTCTGAGAAGACAGCTCTCCTTCAAAGTGCTTCTCCTACGTATGGTAAATAGATGTAGTGGTGTAGGTCAACCGGGAAGATTTCCTTCGGAGTGACCAAATAATCAGGTGTCTGATGGAAGGGCACACATTTTTTTAATACAGCGGAACACTGTGATTTCTTTTGCATACAGTTCTGAAGACCTATATAACATAGAGCACTATTTAAGGAACTACAAAATTCTTGGTACCAATCAAACATTTTTATTTTTTTTTAAGATTTTATTTATCTTGAAAGAGAAAGCCTGCAAGCAGGGGATGGGGTAGAGGCAGAAGGAGAGGGAGAATCTCACGCAGACTCCACACTCAGTGCAGAGCCCGATGCGAGGCTTGATCTCACGACCCTGAGATCATGACCTGAGCCGAAATCAAGAGCTAGATGCTCAACAGACTGAGTCGCCCAGGCGCCCCAGTCAAACACCTTTATGACAACATTTCACAGATTGTAAGACTGAGAATTCTTTAGTGTCTGGACAGGCCAGCTTGGGGCTGCCCAGGCCTGGTGTTAGAATGGATAGCAAAAATATCGCAAATTCCATACCACAAGCAAGACAGAGGTGGTACCTAAGAACCTAGGCTCAAGCCAGGATTATAGTTCTAGAACAGCTATAGGTCCTAGAGAGTGGGGAAGGCTGTGAGCAAGGGTTAGGGACCCAGTGAAAAGGTCTGGTCAGCACAGAGCTAGGAATAAGGTGTTCCTTTGTAGGTCTGTAATCTATGTAACAAACATGAGTTCACAACAGCAAGGAAAAGCATGATTCTTAGTTTCTCTGTGACTGGAACCCTTAGATATTTTTCCTCTTCATTTTCTGAGTGGCTCTGAGAAGGTGGCTGAGCTTGAGCCCACAGTAGCCACAAAAGGTACACCTGACAGGAGTGGAGAAATGAGAAATGTGAGTAATGTGAATGACAGATCTGGAGCCCTATGCACTGTCCAATCTTGTCCTGGAGTTCTCCTAGCCTGAAGAAGAAGCAGTCTTTACTGCACTCAGGACTTACAACTAGAAGCTTTGGAGGATTTAAAGATTATTTTACTGCCAGTGAAACCTTAGACTTATCCCTTGCTGGCAAGAAAGTGTTAATTTCCTTCTGAAACTAACCATTTAACTTTTAGAAAAGTGAATTATAACCCCGCACACTGGAAGTCTTTCCAAGTTTGGATTGCTGGGTTCTACCTCAGATCAATTAAATTAGAATCTCTGGGGAGATGGTTGGGACCTAGGTATCTATATAATTTTCAATGATTTTATTTTGCTTTAGCTTCTTTAATTTTAAATGATGAAAACATCATGAACTCTTCATTGTAAATAAAAATATGTAAAAAATTATTACTTCTGGGTGTGGTGCATAAACAATGAATCCCGGAACACTGAAAAAATAAAATTAAATTAAAAAAATAAAAATTATCTGGGATCTAAAAAAATTATTGCTTCTACTCCTTTTCTATATAGACATAGAACATAAGCAAGATATAAAGTATATAAGAAGAATATTTGTTTACCTACCACCTGTTTCATAAATTGTAAGTGTATAGCCAACAAAATGTCTCAAAATAAACATCTTTTCCTAAATACCATATAGGTGGAGAAATAGAACACCACCAGAGGCTCTGGACCCTGCTCCCGTTGCTTCTCATTACCCTCTTCTGCCTCCATAAAGGTACAAAAGTTTCCCAGGTAATTTTAATGAGCCATATCATTGTCTTGTTGTCTACCTTTCTGCTTTGTTTTCCTCATGGATTTTTTTTTTTTTAATGGAGAGAAAGTACTTTAGGTATGAGGATTTGATCTCTCTCATCCAATATTAATATCAATAACCAACATTTGCAGTGTTATATGTGAACACATATATATGTGTTACATATGAATGTTATATTGTGACAACAAACTTTTGAGCCATTATGCATTCAAGGAATTTAGGTTTATTTTTCTTTCTTTCTTTTTCTTTTTTTTTTTTTAAAGATTTTATTTATTTATTTGACAGACAGAGAGTACAAGTAGGCAGAGAGGAAGGCAGAGAGAGAGGAAGGGAAGCAGACTCCCTGCTGAGCAGAGAGCCCGACACGGGGTTTGATCCCAGGACCCTGGGATCAAGACCTGAGCCGAAGGCAGAGGCTTTAACCCACTGAGCCACCCAGGCACCTCGATTTATTTTTCTAAAATGAAATTAAACTTCTCTCTTGAGCTCGGTGGTAGAAAATACCTTTCGGTTCAGTTTCAACCTGGATTGTGAGCAATAGATAGAAGTTGCTTCCCCATCCCAAAATGAGGGTCCACCATGCCAAGGGAAATAGATAGCCTGAGGTCGCTGGGGCAAAGGATGGTGACTCTGTGTATCAGACCACTTGTGGGCGATGCAGACAGGCCCACATGGGAAAGCCACTCCACTGGTCCTTTTAAATGCTGTCCAAGAGAAAGGCCTGAAGAGAGAATGTGACCTCAACAGGGCAGAGGGCTGCTGAAACCCAATGGGCTGAGAAGAGACAGTCACAGTGGTGTTTTTGAAGAAACTGCAAAATGCTCACCAGATAGTCAGCTTTATATACCTGTGCTAAGCCCGGAGAGCTTATAAACCAATTCATGACAATATAAGGGAATGGCAAGAATCTTTCCACTGTAGTTACTACTTTTCTGTCCCCGCTACCCTTCAAGTCTGGAATAGCCAGAGACAGACCCAGAGTGGGGTGAGTGGGTATATAGGTGAGGACGAAGGTCTAGACAGTAAAAACAAAGAAACAAACAGTGCATGGGGGATTTCCTCTCCCCCTTTTCAGTAGGCTTTTGCTATGCTTTTTGAGGGACAACTAATTTCTGGAAAAGGAAAATACTTAAAACTTAAGAGAAATTTAAAATTTTTGACTATGTTTAGATCAAACATTTTGATTAGTTTTCATGCAGATTGTGTGTGTCTGTGTGTGTGTGTGTCTGTGTGACTAAAATAAGTGAAAACATTTAAAAAAATCTAAGTATGACTAGAAAAACCACGTCTGCATTTTTATGCAAGGAAGTTGGAAAGTGCTACTAGAACACAATGCAAGTTTGAATAGGTAGTGGGGAGAATGAGGAAAATGGTTTTTCTTTCTTTTCTTTTTTTTTTTAGAGAAGGGGAGAGACAGGAAATGAGTGAGTGGAGGGTGTGGGGATGGAGAAAGGGCAGAGGCAGAGGGAGAGGGAGAGAGAATCCTAAGCAGATTCCCCGCTGAGAGCAGAGATGGACTCAGGGGCTCAATCTCATGATCCCGAGATCATGACCTGAGCCTAAATCAAGAGTCCAACCCTTAACTGGCTGAGCCACCCAGGTGCCCCAATGAGAATTGTTTCTGATAACATCTGATGAACATTCTTGTCCACTATTTTGGTTATATCCATATATTGACTACTCCAATGATTCAGTGAGCATGTTCCTAATTATATGATGATAGCTTCCCCTTTGATGAGGTGGTGATTCCCTGTCAAGCTGCCTGGGCTGGGAGAAGGGTCTCTGAGAAGTTCAGTAAGGTGCTGGGGAAATAAAAAATATTGACTAATCTTTCAAATGATCATTCTGTCACCGTTACCTCATTTAACCATCACAAGAAACTTGTGCGGTAAGTGCTATTATTAGTCGTCTCTTAGGGAAACTGAGGCTAGAGAGGTAAGGCTATTCGTCACAAGGGACTATAGCTAGAAAGCCAAGGATGATTAGGAGCCAGTCTTTTTCCCTCTGGAGCCCATTCTCTAAATAGTCTACCTTTTAGCCTCTACTACTCACTTTTGAGGCTGTAAGAGGAGGCAGTGTGCTGGTCTTCTAATAAAAAGACTTCTGTTGGTGTGAGGGTCAGTCAAGCAAATTTACCAACTCATACAACTCTCGTCTATTTCCGAAATATTTCTTTACTAAAGAAGTTGATTTAGAAACAGCCAGTGAGGCTTTTGCCTGTTATAACTTGGCTTCTGCCTTTAATTTAAGAAGCACTCTTAATTTTTGGAATCAGGTCAGTTATTCTTCTTGGTATGTGAGAATAATATCATTGCAATATAATTTTTTTTAAAGATTTTATTTATTTATTTGACAGAGAGAGATCACAAGTAGGCAGAGAGGCAGGCAAAGAGAGAGGAGGAAGCAGGCTCCCTGCTGAGCAGAGAGCCCGATGCGGGGCTCCATCCCAGGACCCTGGGATCATGACCTGAGCTGAAGGCAGAGGCTTTAACCCACTCAGCCACCCAGGTGCCCCGCAATATAATTTTTTAAAGATTTTACTTGTGTATTTGAGAGAGAGAAAGTGAGTGAGAGAGAGAGCATGAGCACAGGGAGGTGCAGAGAGAGAAGCCGACTCCCCGCTAAGTAGGGAGCCTGACATGGGACTCGAACCCAGGACCCTGGGATCATGACCTGAGAGGAAGGCAGAGTCTTAACTGGTTGAGCCACCCAGGCACCCCTAATATCATTATAATAAAACAACTCTCTCATGGTTTCCTTTCAAGAAGTTAACAGTTACTACCTAGAAAATAATTCAAGTGAGCTTTAAGAGTTTTGGAACACAAAGAAAAATGCTTCGGGAAAAATGCTTACAGTCTCATGAAGTTTAGCCAGAATCCACAGGTACTTCTAGACCATTGTCAATATTAGAATTGCTCCTCTCTTTTCTCCATGTGGCAGAACTTTTAAAAAAGAAGACAGGAGTGAGTTCGAGTGTTAAAGTAACAGCTGTATTATACTTTTTGAGCATTTTAATCACTTGGAAGCTTATTCTTTCCTTCTCTCTATGTTTCAATCCCCTTGATCTGTTTTTTTGCATTATAAAATGTAGTATTTTTATGATTCTATACCATATGCTAATCTCTTACTGGTCCCCCAGTATCACAAACTTCTTTTCCAGTGAGACCTGCAATCCCTATCACCTTCCTACCTTCTGATTCTATCTGCCTTTGAAGCAAAAAGAATGAGCTTAAGTGAGACCCAGAGGTCATCAACCCTGTGCTTGTGTCAGGACATGCAAACTCCCCAAACCAATTACTAACCTGTTTTTAAAGACAACCTCCAATCAGAGGGAATCCATGACTTCTTTTTGTGAGCCGTTGCACAGTGTAAGAGCACTCTATAAATGTCTTCCTCTATCTGGGTGCACTCTTATCTCACCGGTCTATTTTTTTCCTCATTTAAGTTAACCCTTTCTTACCTTTTTATGAACCTCTAGGCCTTCTCAGAAGTGGTGGGAGACAAATGTTCTGTAAACAGTCAAGAACGGTAAGATGAGTCGTAGTCGCTGGGAACTTTGGTGCTCTACTCCCCTGCTACCCAGGATGGACAGCAAGGTTATGGCATTCCTCCTTTTATAAGGTATTTATCTTGCTGCTGCTTAGCAAACACTTTGAATCCTTTTCAACACCGTGAGACTGAAATTTCTGAGTCTGTTTCCAAACAGGACACTAGAGGGCTCCCAGGGGTTAAAAATAAGTGGAAAATTATTTGATTGAACACTGCTTCTGTACGGCTTTGGCTTTTGTTTTTTTCAGATCTTAAAATTAAAGTTTATTTTTTAAACTATTAAAAAAAAAAAACAAAACCTTGCGTGTCTTAAAACTGGGCTACCAACAGCCAGTTGACAAGTAACCATTTTGCTTTGCAATCAGGAGTTTTCAAGAGAGCTTTTAAAGCTGAGCTGAGATATTTGAAATGTGGAACACTCTTGACCATGAAATATGTTCTACTTACATGCCTCAGCCTTTAAAAGTTCTTTGCATTACAGTCAGGGATTACATTCTTCCTGGAGCCAAGCACGGGGCCAGCTGTGTAAGTAAGGTTGCTTATGAGTTCTTCTTTTTAGTAATGTAAAAAAAAAAAAAAAAAAAGGAGAGAGAGAAAGCTAGAGATCCCTTTATTTTCTTTCAGCTGACTTTTGTGGGAAGAAAAGGAATGAAAGGCAGTTGGATTTGTGTTTTGTGTTTCTGTGTGTATGACTGAAAAAATGTAACTTCTGAGATATATGGACATTTGGCTTTATATTGAGATCATTCTTTATGTAGAGATGATGAAACTTACAGTGAAGAAAAAGTTGCACCATCAGATTAAGAGAATCTGTTTCTGAATTTGAATGTTAATACTTGGTGCTTCTTCCCAATTTGTAATGCAGGACTTTAAAAAATAAAAATGGGATGGCTATAGATTGTTTTTAAATACTGTCTATCCCTTGTCTGAAATAATTTCTAAATTTCAAAAAGGGTTTGTGGGATTTTAATGCTTTTCTTTCAGTCAAATTAAACTACTTTAGCTACAAGTTATAAAATATTCTTGGATTTTCATGGTTTGTTTTCACTAGTTTAAACTGAATATCGACTCTATATTGTCCTGTTTATCTTTTTAAACGTAATTAAAAAAAATTCATGGTGGTAGTATTTGTGAAAGGAAAGGGTTACTCTTTTTCTTTACTGTTGAAGAGGAACTGAACTAGTTTGAGATTGTGACTCAGTTAACTCTGTTTCCATTCATTCCCAGAAACAAGCCACACTTCTCCTTGGGGAAGCTGATAGGAGTTTAAAAGGTTTGTTGCCGCGAGTGTCAGAAACATTCCCAACTTCATCACCAGCCCTTTACTTCCACCTCTACCCTACCCACTGGAGACCACTTATATACCTAAGAGGAGGCGACAGCTGAATTCAGGAAACCATGCATCATGTCAGCAGGAACCAACTGCAGACTTTAAACTCTGTTCAACATGTGGATGCAGCAGAGAAATGACCTGTCCAGACAAGCCAGGGCAGCTCATAAACTGGTTCATCTGCTCCCTGTGTGTCCCGCGGGTGCGTAAACTCTGGAGCGGCCGGCGCCCAAGGACCCGGAGGAACCTCCTGCTGGGCACTGCCTGCGCCATCTACCTGGGCTTTCTGGTGAGCCAGGTGGGACGTGCCTCTCTCCAGCAAGGAAGGGCAGCAGAAAAGGGGCCGCACCAGAGCCGCGACACCGCCGAGGCACCCTTTCCTGAGATACCCTTGGATGGTACCTTGGCGCCTCCAGAGTCCCAGGGCAATGGGACAACGCTGCAGCTCAATGTGGTGTACATTACCCTACGCTCCAAGCGCAGCAAGCCTGCCAATATCCGTGGCACAGTGAAACCCAAGCGCAGGAAGAAGTACGCAGTGGCCTCACCAGCCTTGGGACAGGAGGCTTTGGTCGGACCATCCCTTCAGCCACAGGATGCTGATGCTGAAGTGCCTGGGTACGTCCAGGGAGGAAACCTGGGCAAGGTTGGGGAACGACCCTGGAGGTTGATACGGGGCTCCGGAGTGCAAGTTGGGGGCTCAGATTTTCAGCGGCCCAAGACCCAGGAGAGCAACATTAGGATCTACAGTGAGAGCGCCCCCTCGTGGCTGAGCAAAGAAGACATCCTCCGAATGCGCCTGTTGGCGGATGGTGCAGTGGCAGGTCTTCAGCCAGCGTCCTCTAAAAGTGGAGCGCACTTGCTGGTGCTGGAGGGGAGCTCTGCTGGCTCTGTGCCCCGCTGTGGCCCCAGCCCCTGTGGACTACTCAAGCAGCCTTTGGACATGAGTGAGGTGTTTGCCTTCCACCTGGACAGGATCCTTGGGCTCAACAGGACCCTGCCGTCTGTGAGCAGGAAATCAGAGTTCATCCAAGGTAACAGCTTCACATGCTTCGTGATTTGCAGCTGTTGGGGATTTGGGTTGATTTTCCTCTTTTCCCTCAGTCTCTCTTTCGAAATGATTTTCTCCACCCACGTCTCACATTTGGACAGCAGCAGCATGTCTTTCCATACGTTTGGCGTTCTTTATTTTCCCAACTTTGGAAGGATATGAGCGTTCCAGGGAAATGCTGTATTCAACATGCAAGGATAAGCCCACACTGTGTAATCTTTGCTCTCCTTTCCCCTCACTGCACTTCCCAGTGGCTTATTAAATCTAATTAAAGCCAGTGGCAATTTGCATGATGAGAAGAGGAAGCCGGGTGGAGGCAAAGAACTTGCTGTCAGGCATATTATTAGAGAGGTTACTATGGAAGTAAGTAGAATTTCATTCCTTAGGAGTTTTTAAAAGTAAAAGGGAGAGGGGGTTATCTTTCTTCAGCAGATGGAAACTTTTTAAAAGGCCCAGAGCCAGACCATGTTAGATTTGACCCTTTTTTTTTTTTTAAGATTTTATTTATTTGGGAGAGAGAGAATGAGAGAGAGAGAGAGAGAGAGCACAAGAGTGGGAAAGGGTCAGAGGGAGAAGCAGACTGGAGCCTGATGCCAGACCGGATCCAGGGACTCTGGGATCATGACCTGAGCTGAAGGCAGTTGCTTGGACCAACTGAGTCACCCTGGTGACCAGACCCTTTGGTTCTTTTACAATTGATTTAACTCCCTTAGTTTTACAAAGAAAATGAAATGAAACTAGGTAATTTGTTCAGTATATACTAACTAGGTATATGGTTTCTTCGAGCCCATGACTAAAATTTATTGAGATTGATTTCTAAGACTCTGTCAGGTGACAAACATTTTGGCAGGTTCTGGGTTATATAGCCAGTCACTTGGGTGTCAGGCAAAGGGGCTAGTCTGTGGCTGTGCTCACACTGTGTGAAGGATATTTTCTGAATCTTGAGGCTGTTCCAGGCTTTGAATACAGTGTGGGTCAGTGGTTTGTGTTTGAAAGCTGAATAAGCCCAGAATTTGCTGGTATGAATCGAGACTGGCCCAACAGACTAGAAAGACCACAAGGGAATTATAAGCTCAAAGAATATTTTCTTATTTTTTGTCATCATAAAATTTAGCATTTTATGGAGTCCAGAATGGAATGGATTAAAATTCTTGGGAGTGGTCAAGAACTAACCTGTATTTTCAGTGGCTTTAGGGTTATAATTTAGTCTTAAAACGGGTACTTCTAGAAGTACCAGTGATTTACTTACAAAGACTTGACATTCCTTACTTATCCTGGTCCATGTTTAAGTGCTTCAGTTTCACAGGTATGTTTTGATGTCTCAAGTTCATAAAATAGTCCACCATGATTAGGCTGATGTGCGATAACCTCCCAAACATTTAATAAAAGTTTGGTTAAAACTCATTTTTCTTGGGTGCTCACTATTTGCTAGGCATTATACTAATTGATTCATAAAGTTAATACATGCCTTGACCCCATATTTCTCACAACTAAGCTATAAGGTAGAGCCTACCTATAAGGTAGGTTCTGCTTAAGCAGAACTTAAGCTCTAAACCACTGGGCTTAGGTTACTGTATAACTTATCATCCAAAGCAGAACACCCTGGAGTAAAAGAAGATACTGGTGAGCATGGAGATAACAGGCATCTACCAAATCTGTCTTGGCAAAGTAGGTCATAGCATAGGGTCACTCTTATTACCCTATACTGCCATTCACTATCATGTCATAAAGGCCCCTGGGTAGAGGAGGTGAATAGATCTTGAGGTATGGTACTCCAATATGGTACTTCCTTGGGATACTCTTGGATGGAAGTTGGGAGAATTAAGTAGTGTGTAGGAACTTGGAACTGTTCTGCCTGAGTTTGAATTTACCAACCATGTGAGCCAGAAATGTTACAGTATCTCTGAATGCCTCAGTTTCCTCAGCTGTAAATAAAAGGATAATAGTACTTACCTGATGAAGTTATTGTTAGTTAATACATGAAAAACAAGTGGAATGAGTGATTTTCACACAGTAGATCTTCAATATTGTCTATTTATGTTACTACACTAGACACATGAGGTACCAAGTTCACCAAGTTACTTACATGGCCTCCAAGCCTCACATATCATGTCTTTATATGACACAACCAGGTCTAGAACACTGGTCTCTTGATTGTTGAATTAAACTTTTGAATATCAGGATTCCTTGTATATACTTATTCTTTGCTCTTAATATCCAGGATTTTTAAAAAAATATATATTTTATATATATATACACACACACACACACACACACACACACACACACACACATTTATTTATTTGTTTTAGAGTGAATGAGATAGAGAGGTGGGATGTGGGGCAGAGGGAGAGGGAGAGAGAGAATCTCAAGCAGACTCCCTGCTGAGCATGGAGCCTGACACAGGACTTGATCCCACAACCCCGAAATCATGACCTGAGCTGAAATCAAGAGGCGGCCACTTAACCCTCTGAGCCTCCCAGGCACCCCTGAATATTCAGCATTTGTTGGGATCAAGAGGGCAGTTGTAATCAATTTAAAGGACGGGTTTTATAATCCCAATATATCTTGGTATTGTTCTCTCATTTTGGACCTAAGCGGTGATGAAAAGAAACAAAGTTGTATCAATATGACTCTCAGTGTGATGAGTTACCTAAGATTATATCTCAAACAATATTAAATCTCTCTTTTTTTTCTTTGATACCTTCTATGTAGTTATTTAGAGACATAAAATCAATTAATTTCCTCAGGAATCTGTGACATGATTTAAATATAGTTATGAACACTCTACACAATATAATTCTACTCATGTAGGCTATTATATTGGTGTAAAGTGCATAAATAGATCAGTGCTGGTCATGGTAGGAGATATATAGACAGTCTTAGGTTCTTGGTATCTCTCTCTATCCACCTATTTCTAGGCTTTTCTTGACATGTCTTTCCTCTCCTGATTTCCACAGAAGTGTGTATTTTCCTCTAACGTCCTCTTATTCTTCTTTTGGTCCAAGCTTAGATTTATTTCAGGCTCCCTGTCTACCTAAGGAGATGATAGATCTTACCAAGTTGCCCAGGATCTATTTTTGGTTCATTTATTTTTTTAAAAGATTTTATTTATTTATTTGACTGACAAAGATCATAAGTAGGTGGAGAGGCAGACACAGAGAGAGGGGGGAAACAGGCTACCCACTGAGTAGGGAGCCAGATGTAGGGCTCAATCCCAGGACCCAGAGATCATGACCTGAGCTGAAGGCAGAGGCTTAACCCACTAGGCTACCCATGTGCCCCTCTGGTTCATTTGATATCATCTTTTTGTATTATAGTTACTTGTTTAATCATCTTTTCATTCCCACTAGTCTCTAGGTCTGTGAAGGCAGAGACGTTTCCTGTCTTGTTTATCATTTTTAGATCCTAGTGGAGAATCTGGCACATAGTAGGTGTTCAATAAATATTTTTGAATGAATGCAGGAATACATTCTTGGCTTGTTCTACTGATTTTTTTTAAAAAGATTTTATTTATTTGATGGATAGAGATCACAAGTAGGCAGAAAGGCAGGCAGAAAGGTTGGGGGTGGGGAAGCAGGCTCCCCACTGAGCAGAGAGCCCAATGTGGGGCTTGATTCCAGGACCCTGAGACCATGACCTGAGCTGAAGGCAGAAGCTTAACCCACTGAGTCACAGAGGCTCCCCGTGTTCTACTGATTCTTAACAGTAAATCTGTATTTGCTTCCACTTCCAATACTCAGGAGAAAAGTACGACCATTTTTAGACCTAAAGTCATGCTGAGATTTCTCCTGGAGGATCTTATAAAGAGTTCACTATAGAGGTAATGAAAAATGTCTTTGGCAACCTCTGTGTTATGCAAATAATGAGATTTATAGAGCTTATTCTTGTGAGGACCATCAATGTGGTCTGCTGGTCTTACACTGTAATGTAATTTGATAATGAGTTTTCTGTAGGAAGAACTGTTGGATTATTTTAGGTATGTATTTCCTCTGATGATCTGGCTTGGTCTAAGAATAAATTTTTTAATATATGGGAGATTGAGTGGCCAGAAAATCCTGTAAGTAATCCTGCCCTAAGTGTTGTTTCTGTTCTCTGACTTTTGATTAATGTTTGTGAAAATAAATTCATGCCCAGTACCAAGAACGTAGCTAGTCTGTATTATGAATCAAATACAGATATTTGGCTTATCTCAGTAAATCTTTTGAAGAAACCTTTGCAGTAGAAAATTTTTTTAACGAGAAAATACAATGCTACAATTAAATGGTCTACCTGCCCCCAGCCTCTCAGGTGAATCTTTTTGCTGATTGAGTCTGAAGTCTCAGTTATAAAGCTCATCTTCAGGTTTTGTTTGTTTATTTTTTTAATTAAAAAAAATTGTTGTGGTTGATCCTATCAACAAAGACCCACTAGCTCAGGTTAGCTTAGGACGGGTTTTTGGTAGTATAACTTGATGAATTGTATCTGATTCTCTTTGAATACAAAAAGTATGTATGTGAAATTCGTGGACTCACTGACCTGGTGCTGTATATCGGACCATGTTCTACAGGTGCAACTCCAAAGATAACCCAGAAAATGAGAATGGTGTCCTTAGGGAGAAGCAAGTTTGTAATTAGATAGGGAGTACCAGTGGTGCACCATGCTGCAAAATCTAGCAATTATCACTGGAACAGAGTCTCCTTTTGTGCATATCTACGTGGGAAATGCAAAATTGAATGGAAATACAGCATCAAAAGGCTTTTTCAAAAAATCAATTTCTGCAACAATGATACCTTCTTCAACTGTGAATTTGTAATGAATCTACTGTTATACATCACCCAGTTCCTGTAACACATTTGGTATTATATGCCAATGCATCACTTTATCATTCTGTAAAGAAGATACTATCGATACTTTAAATATGAGAATACTGAGATTCAGAAAGATTATGAAATTTGCCCAAGGACACATAGCTAGTGAGCAATGAAACTGAAATTTGTAACC